TGTGTGTGTGTGTGTGTGTGTGTGTGTGTGTGTGTGTGTGTTGCCTACAAAAAACGTACCTCATGGAAAAAGACTAAAATTGAAGGGCTGGAAAAAGGTATTCCATGCAAATGGAAATGAAAAAAAGCCTGGAATTTTGATACTAATTTCAGACAAAATGGACTTTAAGACAAAAACAATAAGAGAAAAAGAAGGGAATTATATAGTAATAAAAGGGCTAATTCATCAAGAAGATATAATACTTATAAATATCTATGCACCCAACTAAGGAGCACCCAAATACACGAAGGAACGACTACTAGATCTAAAAGGATAGACTGCCACATACTAGTTGTTAGGGATCTCAACACCTTTGGACTGATCATCTAGATAAAAAATGAGCAAAGAGATACAGGATCTAAATGATACCATAAATTACAAGGACTTGACAGTCATCTATATAAACTTCTACCCAAAAACCACACAATACATACTTTTCTCACCTCCGCATGGAATCTTTTTGAAGATTGACCACATGATTGGACAAGCCTTTCCAGATTTAAAGGCATAGAAACTATATCCAGCATTCTTCTATGACTATGATGGAATTAAATTTGAAATTAATCTTTTTAAAAAACCCTCAAAGGGACCAGCAGTTAGCATAATAGCTATGTCGCTGGACTCCCATGTAGTCAACTGCAGTTCAAGTCCCGGACATGGTGGCTTAAACTCATGCCGGGTGCGTGTGCATGCGTGCCCAAGATCCCGAGAGGAATGGAGGAAAAGGGATTGCAGCATGGCTACCCCCCCTGGGGAGTAATTTCTTGCTTTCTGTCTCTCTGTCTCTCTCTGTCTTTCTGGCAAGTTCATGTGCCCTATAGCAAAAACCTCTCCCCACCCCACCCCACCCCCAAAAAAGAGAGAGAATAAATAAATAAATAAATAAATAAATAATAAAAACAATTTTAAAAACTCAAAAATACACAAACATATAGAAACTAAACAACCTACTCCTGAATAACTTCATTACTAATGAAGAGATTATGAACACCAAAAATCCTCTGCCCAGACTTCACCCTCCTGCCCTTGAGATCTCACTAGGAGCCAGGACAAGCCAATTAGCAGCCATCTATATCTGAGTTCTGGGCAGTTCCATTCAGAGATAATGACAACTGAAGACCCTCTGCCCAGACTTCACCCTCCTGCTTCCCCAATCTAACTAGGAGTAAGATTAGAGAACACTGCTTATTCTCTCTGTCTCTCTCAATCTCTCTTTATTTTTTTAAAATTAAAAAATTTTTAAACTTATTTGCTCTCTGCCGCTCTTTTGTCTTGCTAATTCCTATTTTAATCCCTGCCCTCATAGGATAAGCCAGTCAGCAGTCATCTATATTTAAGTTCAGAGCAGTTTTCATTTTTTGACAAATGCTTTTTTTTTATTGTTTTTGTCTTGTTTTCTTTTTTTTTCTATTCCTTTTCCTATTCTTTTTACCTTTCTCACTTTTCTATTCAGCCTCCTCACACTGATTTTCTAGACAAGTCTAGGTGTTCAGTAGCCAAATATCTGAATACATTTAGAGTCCGATTAATCTTCAACTTTCAGTGAATCAGTTGTCCAAGGGGAGAAAAACATTACTTTTTAGAGACTGCAGGTGGTCCTTTGAGGAAGAGAGACCTGAGTATTGAGGTATCGAGATCTTCTCTTGTTACTTCCTTAATGAAGAAGAAAAAGAGGGAAAACAGAAGATGCAGGGGAAAAGAGCCAACAAGTTCCAGAAGGTGAAGAAGTTCTTGCACAATCTAAAAGAGAAGATACGCATCATAAAAAGGATCAAACAAAATTGGTAGAGATGAAGGCAGTAATATAGGAAATCAAAACTTCCCTTGAAAATATCAAAAGCAGATTAGATCGTGCAGAAGATTGAATCTCAAATGTAAAAGATAGAACCTCTGACCTAGAAAAATTCACCAAAAAGACTGAAAAAGTAACCCTCAAAAAATGAGAATAATTTATGAGTAATACTAGATACCATCAAATGCCCAAACATCAATATCATTGGTATCCCAGAAGGTGAAAAAAACTAATAAGAGCATTGATAATCTATTTCATGAAATCCTGGAAGAAAACTTTCCAAGCCTACAAGAGGCACTCAAATATTCAGACCCAAGAAATACAGAGGACCTCACATAGAATCGACCCAAGAAGATCTTCCCCAAGGCATATCATAGCCAGATTGACCAAAACCACAGACAGAGACAGGATACTAAACCTGGCAAGACAGAAACATCAAGTTAACTTTCAAAGGATATCCCATAAAGCTAACATTGGACCTCTCGTCAGAAACAATGCTAGCAAGGAAAGAATGGGAAAATATATTCAAAGTGTTAAGTGAAATACAATTTCAACCAAGAATATGATATCCCACAAGATTATTATCCTTCAAATAGGAAAAAAAATACAAAAACATTCTAAGATAAACAAAATCTGAAATAATTTACCAACACCAAACCAGCTCTCCAAGAAGTACTCAAAAGAGTGCTATCCCAGGAAAACTAAAGCCAGACATGCAGAAATCAAAGTACAAAAAAAAATCAAGAGAATAGCCAGTCTAATGGTAGAGATAAGTCTGGAGTTGAATGTTAACTTCCAGAGTTTAAATGGAAAGATAAGACCACAGTAACATTGCAAATTCAATAGAGGAGAGATTAATTACATGAGTCTGAACTAGTGAAATATAATATTTTTTACTTTAGACTAAAACAATATAGATTTTCTTTGATGCTTTGATTTCCATATTTAAAAATTTTTGTCTTCTCTTGAACTGCTGATAGGTTCATCTACCTACTATTTTAACTGAATCCTAACATTTCCCTGGCTTAAAGTTTTAAGCAAATTTCTCTTAACATTTTTTTATTTTGATCTATTAAAACTAAAACTGTTTTTCTCAAAATAAAAAATGCATTAAAAAACTATTAATACCTATTTAATGACTGCAATAAGCTATCTAGCTCCAGCAAGGTGCTACTTTATAGTGTGTTCACCTTACTCACTCGGGCTTATGCCTAAAGTCAGACAGGCATTCATAGACAGGTATATATTAGCTGTGCTTTCTATTGAAAGTTTTTAAATGGATTAAGATCTTTAGAAAATCAATAAAATGTGGGAAAAAAGCATGCAAAACTGTACATACCACAGATAGTGTGGGAGAATGGGGGGGGGTA